GTCAATATAGGTGTTGCTTTAATTAGCATTTCGGCATATTTGAATGAGTAAGAAATCTTTTTTATAACGTTTTATGAAATAATACAATTTAATGTCTTTTGTTTTCTTCTCATTTTTATATGGCCCAAGTCTCCAGCCTTACCACTATATTTTCCCAATACTTTTAATTTTATATTTCTCCGCTTCATTTCCGATTTGAAAGCCATCATAAAGGGCATAATGCAAATTGTTCTGTCAATATATTTTTCCTTCAATTAGCATTTCGGCATATTTGAATGTAAGTTCCTAGATAATCTCATTCGCCTTTTGAAAATGCCAAATTTCTTTATTGAGTCTTAAGATTTTTTCCTATAGAAATAACTTATATTTAATGTCATTCGCCTTTCAAAATTTTAAAGCAGTCAATTATTTTATTGAGACTTGAAATGTTTCCTTTAGAAATAACTAACAAATATTTATGCCGGTTTTGCTCTAATTAGCATTACGGCATATTTAAATGAATAATATAACTTTTTATCAACATTTCGATATACCTAATTATGGCTTTTTCCAATAATACCATTCAATGTCTTTTGCTTCCTTCTCATCGTTATATGCGCCGGATCACCACCATTGCCACTATATTTTCCTAATACTTTTGATTTGATATTTCTCCGCTTCATTTCCGATTTGAAAGCCATCATAAAGGGCATAATATTATTAGTTCTGTGAATATAGGTTTTGCTTTATTTAGCATTTCGGCATATTTAAATGTGTAAGAAAACTTTCTGTAAGGTTTTGCTGTTATCAACATTTTTATATATCTTATTATGGATTCTTCCAATACCATTTAATGTCTTGCTTCCTTCTCATTTTTATATGGTCCAAATCTCCAGCCTTACCACTATATTTTCCTAATACTTTTGATTTGATATTTCTCCTTTGAATGTCTTTATATCCTTCTCATTTTTATATGGTCCAAATATCCTGCATGTCCATGTCATGCATGTCCTACTTTTGAGTTTATATTTCTCCGCTTCATTTCCGATTTGAAACCCATCATAAAGGGCATAATGCCATTAGTTTTGTCAGTATATGTTTTGCTTTAATTAGCATTTTGGCATATTTAAATGAATAAGATTACTTTTGGTCATTTTTTCTATAAAAATAAGAAAAATTTAATGTCATTCGCCCTTCAAATTTTCAAAACACCCAATTATTTTATTTAGCCTGAGATTCTTTTAGAAATAACTAACAACTATTTATTCCGGTTTTGCTCTAATTAGCTTTTCGGCATATTTAAATGAATAATATAAGTTTTTATCAAAATTTCGATATTAGATTTTTCCAATAATACCATTCAATGTCTTTTTGCTTCCTTCTCATTTGTATATGGTCCAAATGTCCTACTTTTGAGTTTATATTTCTTCGCATCATTTCTAATTTGAAACCCATGATAAAGGGCATGATGTCATTAGTTTTGTCAGTTTTGCTTCAATTTGGATATATTTGAATGAATAAGAATCCTTTTTCTATAAGAATAACAAAAAATAGTTTTTAAAGGTTTTACTTCAATCAACATTTCGGCGTGTTTGAATGAATAAGAAAAGTTCATATAACGTTTTGCTTTTATCTACATACTTGATATGGAAATATGAATTCTTCCAATAATACCATTGAATATCTTTTGCTTCCTTCTTATTTTTATATGATCGAAGTCTCCAGCATTACCACTATATTTGCCTTATACTTTTGATTTTATATTTCTCCGCTTCATTTCAAATTTGAAAACCTTCATATATGGTCATAATGTCATTAGATCTGTCATATTTAATTGAGTAAAAAAGCTTTTTAAATCTTTTTGATTTTCAAAATACCAATTTTCTTTATTGAGTCTTGAGATTTTTCAAGTTTCCCTTTAATTAGCATTTCGGCATATTTGAATGAATTTCCATATTCCTAAATATGTATTCTTCCAATGATACCATTGAATGTCTTTTGCTTTCTTCTCATTTTTATATGGTCCAAATGGCCTGCATGTCCTACTTTTGAGTGTATATATCTCTGCATCATTTCCGATTTGAAAGCCATCATAGAGGGCATAATGTCATTAGTTCAACCCTTTCCTTTATTTGGAAAGGGTTTAATATAAAGTCAATAATTGCTCTAATCAACATTTCGGCATACTTGAATGAATAAGAAAATGTTTTATAACGTTTTGCTTCTATCAACATTTATAATACTATACATTCTAATAATACCATTGAATGTCTTTTTGGTTCCTTCTCATTTGTATATGGTCCTAATGTCCTGTATGTCCTACTTTTGAGTTTATATTTCTCTGCTTCATTTCCGATTTGAAACCCATTATAAAGGGCATAATGTCATTATTTTTGTCAGTATGGGGTTTGCTTTAATTGGCATTTCGGCATATTTGAATGAATAAGAATATTTTTCCTGCATGTCATACCATTAATTTTATATTCCTCCGCTTCGTTTCCGATTTGAAAGCCATCATAAAGGGCATAATGCCATTAGTCTATATCTTTTCTTTATTTGGAAAGAGTCTAATATAAAATTAAAATTTTTTTGTTAATAGGTTTATTTTTTATTTATATCAACCTTTGGATTTTTATATGATTGGTTCATATTCTTTTTTTTTCTGAGTATGGACGTTTTGTCTTTAGTTATTTTAATACCAATTTTTTAATTTTTTTGTTTCCTCGGTTATGAAACCCATAGGAGCTTCCACGCACCATTTATTTTCTTTGTCTATTTTTAAGGGCTGACACGTAAAGGTTTTTCTGCATGCTTCTTTAAGTTGCCCGTAAAATATATACAAATAAAGTCCCGTCCCGTTAGGCGGTCTTAGATCGAGTTCCCCACTCCAATAATTAAAAAAGATTGTTCAGCTGAGGAACTCGGATAATAACCCTTACTTTCATATAATTCGCTCTATGAAATCACTTTAGTAGGAATTTAGTCAAAAGAGGACAGATTTGACTTCGGTTTTTCTTTATAATTTGAATTGAATTAATAATAATATGATTTTTTTTTACTTTAATTTTGTTAGTTTTGTTTTGAAACCCACTGTGCTTTCCTTCTTACATAATAATATTTGTCATCACTTGAAATATTTATTATTTTGCCAAAAAATAATAACCCCCCAAAATTTCCCCCAGCAGAAAAAATACATTTCCCACACATAGACCCACCACCATATTTTGCAAAAAAAAAAAACCCCCCAAACAAAAACAAAAAATATAAAGAAATAATAAAAAACCCAACAACAATAAATCAAACCCTCACCAGAGTACGAGTATATCATTGTAACATTTTCTTTTAAATTTAAGTGTAACGGAACAAAAATCCAAAACAAAACTAAAAAGGACTCTCTATATGAAAACAAAAAATAACATAAATCCCAAAAAATAAAACAACAAAAAACTATTCATTATAACATTTATTCCATATGTCAGCAGCAGAATGTCACCCCCTCAGAAAAAGAAATACCCAACCTAATATTATTCTTACAATAACCAGGCATAAATAATTTGCAAATTAAAAAAAAAAGAAAACATATTTTTAATAATAAAAATATATATCAGAAGAAAATATTTTTTCTTTTTGGATCAGATTTTCAGTTGACAACCACAAACAAGAACAAAAAAAAAACAGGCTAACACCACCACCACCCCCCATTTTTCTTCATCCTCCAGATAAAACAAACTCAAACACACATGATGAAACGCCCACAAACAGAAAACAACAACAACAAAAACATTGAATTTCATTGACTGAATTAACAAAAATAAAATAAAAATAATAAAAAATCAAGAAAAAAAACAAAGACGAAACCAACAACAAGTTTAAAACGTAGATTTTAAGTCTTAACAAAAAAATCAGGATGATAAGAAGAGGAAAAGAAAAACAAAAAAATTATATATAAAAATAAAAAAATAAATTATAATAATAATAATAATTGTAAAACAAACAAAAAATAATGTGTGAAGAAACAAAGAAGAAAAAAATAATATTTGAAATAAAAAACAAAAACAAAGAAAACTCTCATCTACATTGTACATATAATTAAGTACAAGTGCAAATAATAAAGGAAGCTCTGCAATAGCGAAAAAATCCAAAAAATATATATTTGTTTTATTTATTATGGGTGGGTATAATAATTTTATAATCTATATGGGACATAAAGAAACAAATCCCTGTTTTAAATGTTATTTTCGGTTTGTAGCCTATTTTCAGGCGCAATAAAAACAAGTAAAATGCATTCACTTTACAACACTGGCAATGACACGTTTTTAGCGCCATCTATTGATACGCGTGATGCCGAATCGCCAAACATTTTTTCGTTTCCATACAAAAATACGAATTTTGACCAATTCTTAACCAGTGTTGTAAAATGGAATAATGTTTCATTTCACTAAATTCGCAAAGCATAGTTTAAGGCGCAAATGGAATTATGCAAAAAGTGGCATTTTACAACACTATCATTCACTGACCGCACAAAGCATACTTTATGGCGCAATATAAAATTAAGCAAAATTGCGACATTTTACAACACTGGTTAAGAATTGGCGAAAATTTGCATTTTTGTATGGCAGCGAAAAAATGTTTAACGATTTGACATCATGCCTATCAATAGATGGCGCTAAAAATATACCATTGCCAGTGTTGTAAAGTGAGAGAATATTGCGCCTAGAACTATGGTATTTATTTAAAAAAAATCCAATCCCAATAAAAAAACATCTTCCTAGCATTCCACTAAAAATATTTTCTTTCTTTTATTTTAATTTCATTATAAAATATAAAATTTTATATCATCTTACTTACAACTAATTAAGATAAAGTTATACAATTTGTGTGTGTGTGGCCTAATTTCTTCTTTTTGAATTAAGGCTAATACTACATTAAAAAAAAAATATGTCTACAACATACATACATAACTATGTAAAATAAAAAATAAACTAAAATATAAAATAAAAAACTATTTAATTAAAAAATGACTATGTGGTGGGAGGCGATGCCGAAGTCTTATTAAGCACTGCTGGAGATTTTAATTCCTCTGTGGTAGCGGCAACATTTGCTTTCAGTTTTTGATTGCGTTCATGGACACGTTGATGGCGTCGTAAATCACCGGCAACTCGGAACTTTTTCGAACAAGTATCGCACTCATAGGGCTTTTCACCTGGAATGGAGAGAGAAAAAATACACACACATTAGAATTCAACAAATTCATCCCCTTCTTCACACATACCTGTATGAATCTTCCGATGATTTTGTAAATAAGTCGACGCTCGAAATGTCTTTGTACAAAATTCACACTTATAATTACGCTCACTGGTGTGTATACGCAGGTGCACCACCAGTGAATATTTCCGCGAAAATGCCTTGCCACAAAATTCACATTGATGATTCTTTAGATTGCTATGTATCGATATGGTATGGTATTTGAGATCACCCCATTGACGAAATTTACGATTACAATGTTCACATTCGAATGGCTTGTCACCCGTATGGGTACGAGTGTGAGCCTTAAGGGCACCCACAGCAAAAAATGATTTGCCACAGATATCACATTGATGGGGTCGCAGACCCGAATGGGTACGATGATGATATTTTAGAGCATTACAGGAGTTGAAAATACGTTGACATTTATTGCAAACATAACGTTTACGTTTACCCTTGCCATCGACCGAGTTCTCCCCATCTTCGTCGCCTTCCTCACCTTCGGCCGCAAATTCACCATCTTCCGTTTCTTCGTCGTCGTCTTCTTCCTTGGTCTTGGCCACCAGACCAGTAGTTTCATTATTCGAATTGGGCGAAAGTGATCTAAAATCATCACTGTGACAATCATCATAAACCTCATCATCAACTTCACTGTGGGCCACTAGATGATTGGAGTCCCCTTGATAGGCAGGAATGTCGGTATTATTTTCAATTTTTATATGCTGAGGTTGTATCAGGTCAATATTATTGCTAAGTGTTGGCTGAGGTTGAGGAATATGAGGTTGCTGTGGTGGTAATGTTATTGGCTGTTGTTGGGGTGGTGCAGAGACTATAGAAGGCTGAGCTGCTGATACAATCGATGTCTGAGGTACGGTTTGCGTTTCATTGCTATTGTTCATGCCATCATTGGTTTCGGGAAATTGCAATCGTAGATCAGTTGGATGATGTAAAACCTGCCCGGATGGGTGCATTAAATCTTTTGGCATTAATTTCCCCACCACTGTCATATGATGATTATCTTGTGGCACAGTTGTTGGTTCGGTATTTAACATGGGCGCAAATTGACCCGAAAACAAAACATCACAAAATGGCTTGCCTTTTGTATCCATGCCATTGAAACAATTGTTATTAAACCTAAGGGAAGAAATCGGATAATTTAAAAACACAAATTGAAAAAGTATTTGCAGCGACTTACCAATGTGGCCTCACACCATTTGAAGTGGGTGTCATTAGGTCCATTGCATCACAGGTATCCTCAATTAGTACCTTATCCCGTATACCTTCCAGCATATCTTCTGTATCACTGAATTCTTCAGGCACTAGATTTTGTGAAGGCTGATGTGTTTGAGGTTGTTGAACTTGTTGTATGTGGGACTGATGATGGTGGTGTTGTTGTTGCGGCTGTTGCAGGGTATTATTTGCATTGTCATATGTATTATTGTAGACAACTTTCATATCGACGACACGTTCCACATGCGCCTGCATACCCATATCAACCACCACTCTACGATCTGTATGCACCACATTGTCCGCCGCTTGTGAGAAATTTTCAAAGGGAAAATGTACATCTTGGAAGACTTGATCAAGTCCATCAGTCTGAAAGGAAGAAGAGAAAAAAATTATAAGATCCTGGCTTATCAAAAAATATTTAAAAAACATTCCACATTTGTGGATATTATGGCACTTCTAAAAATGATGAATAACCTGGCGCTTCTTAAAATAATCACGATTATAAATTGCATGTCCTTCCACAAATATGTTAAAAAAAATCCATACCGACGCTTCGAAAAATATTTTGAAAAAATCCAAGCTGGTCCTTTAAAAAATCTTCGATTTGGAAACGCAGGTCCTTCAACGAAATATTAAAATAATTTTAAGAAATTCACGATTAGGGAACGCAGGACCATCGGCACATATTTAAAAATCTTCCGGTCCTGGATAAACTTCACAATTAGGGATTTGATGGTTGTTGTAACAGCCCTTTTGCTTTTACACAATAGGGCTGAGGTGACAGACGTGGGCCAAGTATAACTCGGGTCGTTTCCGATCGTAGACCCATCTATCGTGGAAACGGATTTGATGGTCCTTCATGATGTTAACATCTGCGCTTATGGATCAGATTTTTCTTTATAAAATATTCCAAAAGAGTTACGCTTAAAAGATCCGATGGTCGTTCATGTTATACGCTTTAGATCAGGTCTTTCTTAAAATTCTACCCTTATGAATCTGATGATTTTTTTAAATAACCTTTAAAATCCACGATTATGTATCTGATGGTCGTTTAAACAAATTTCGTAAACATTTCACGCTTTTAGTTCTGATGGTTCTTCAAAAACTATTTTTCGGTCATCTATTCATTGTTTTCTTAATATATTTATAATTACCTTTTTATCTATAGTACAAAGATTCGCAGCTGCCTCACTTTTTTCTGGGCCTAAGGCGTCGAGAGATGTTTTCATAGCTACCAATATATTATCGGGTGTTGATGGTTCATAATGTTGTTTGAGATGAGCAAAGAATTCCAATTGTGAACATGTCACATGACCGCACAGCTCACAACGGAATTGTTGTCCTCCAACGCCAACAACCAGTTGAGGTAATTTATGCTCCTCCAGAGGAACATTTAATTGTAGATCATCAACATCGTTGTGATTGATTTTTAGCTTGCGGGATATGCGTTTTTTGTGTGGCAACACCTTGCGTGAATCAAAACGTGATATGTCACAGTCATCATCGACAATGGAACCATCCTAAAGAAACGAACAAATTAATAAGAATGAACTGTTAGTTAATTCCAAGACTTACATCCATAGTTACACCACTACCATTTAACAGTAATTCTTGCACAACTTTGTCACCTCCGACTTCCACACTGCCCACACCATCTGCCGTCGCATAGGATTTATTCACGGGCATTAGGAAGTCATTATTTAAAGGCAGATATGTGGGTGATTTACGTTGTTCATTGGAATGATGGTGATGATCCTCTGTGGTAACGGGAAACAAATGGGCATTGTGAAAATGTAATTCTGGCGGCAAAGTATCTGCACCATTATGCGAGCCATTCGAAACCACTCCTTTGGGGAAATTTATTAAATCCATAATAAAATGATCGGGGGGTAAGAGGGCAGCCTGCAACGGAAGACACCATTAATGTTACAGAATACATAATTGCCTTGCAATGACTTACATGATCCATAAACTCCTGATCTTTACGCTGCATTATGTGATCGATGGCATCCATGTTGTTGTGTACCTCCTTGTGCACATATTTGCGTTTAAGGAGCTCCTATAATGTGGGACAAGAAGTAGTAGAAGTGAAAAATTCCATGATGAACACTAATCCCACTTACCATTTCATTGGCTTTACAATGGTCCTCGAAACCATTGTAATCATTTAATTCCATTGCCGCAGACACCAGTTTTCTTGTTAATTGCCACTTTAGGTCGAATTTCTTTCCTAAATTAACGCAAATAAATAAAAACTTTAGCCCAGAAATAAACAAAATAAATAAGAATTAAGAAAACCAGCCGAATTCTGTGAGAAATGTCAAAATCAGCCGAGAGTGTCAGAGGCCGACCTCAACAGACCATACAATCATTAATAATTCTACTTGTATTTGATAAATCCTTACCTTAATTTTGTTATTTCTGAAGTCGCACTGTTGTCTTTATTATGTGCAACATTGATTTGACTTAAATTTATTGTCTTTTATTCGAGTTTATGTATTATTGTCGTTGTTTGTTTATAATAAAATGTGAATGAATGTTCTTGTAAACATTGTGTCATCAATTCAAATTGAATGACATCGATAACATAATGTCAACATATCATGCGATATATCGTTTGCTTTTCGTCATGTTGTTTTAATTTCATTCGTAAACACGTATAGAAGTGAAAAAGGTAAACAAACAACATTCACAGATGATAACGTGAATGCCAAAACAAATAAAAGCGAAGAAAACAGTGATGCCAAATTGCAGTTAAAAAGGCGTAAACATTTAATGAATTATAAAATCGCCAAACAGAAATAAAAACGTTAAACCCATAATTTTTAGCAATATGGGAGACGATCTTAAAATTTATTACGATTTTTTATCTTGGTATAATAATATAAGGCAACAGCAAATGTTGTTGTACAACAAACGATACTACGATAGTATAGTTTTTGACATGTATTTCAAAATATTACCATTTCGATTTCTTCGAAATGCTTTGCTACATCGAGATTATTTCAAAACCCATGACCCATTTGATTACTCATTTTAAAAAAGTAAGGAACACATGCTTATATTTTATAAAAAGTCGCAACTTGTTAACATCAAATCGTCAATTGCTGCAAGAATTCTTTCTTTGTAGTTAATACACCAACCTTAAAAAGTGATGCCAAGTTCCCTATACAACCTTTCTCGAATTAAGAGCTAGTGTACGCTAGACGGCGCCCATTATATTTGAATAAACTATATTAATTTTAGTTAACTAAATAATTTATTTTTAAAACAAATTTAGAAGCATTTAGTGTATTTCTATTAATATCAGTATACAATAAATTCTTCGCTAATAATAAAAAACTAATAACTAAAAAGGTGAACCAATAAATTCCATTTTAATCACCAAAAAACCCTGCGATGTTTTCTTGTGCAAAATTGCAAAGTTGTATCTTTTATATTGCGATCTCAATGGCGATTTCAACAACCTGAAGACAACATTTAAATTGATCTAAATATCTAATTCTGATCACAAATATATACCTTTTTATATTTAAAAAACTATATAGCAGTGGCATTGCATGAAAAAACATTTCTTTAATGTACCCAAAAGGGTTTTTTAAAAGTTTTTTTTCTAGATGAATCGAAGACCTAGAAGCGACTATTTTAATAGTATTTTAAAACCAGAGAAAGGATCAGCGTAGGCTAATCCTCTCTCTAACTTTCTGCGGTTTTATATTCTGAGCCGCTATATTTGCACCCTCTTGACCGATTATAAATCAACAGCCCCACTAATCTACTTTTGGAGCAATTTAATATTTTGGATTCGCCTTGAGTAGAAAATGTCTTTAACGTAAATTATCAACATTGGCCCAAGTTTCCAGTTTCCATATAATTGTAACCCCGGTTATTGGATATTTTTTGGGGCACGTTTGTAACCGGCTTGGCTCTTATTTGATTTAAGGGGACCCCCCATTCTCGGGGTCAAAATTTTTGTTGACTTAATTCTAATCTACACTAATTCAAGAATGTCCCTGCAAAATTTCAAGTAAAAATATCAAGAACTCTTGAAGATATAGCCGATTTATTGTGTCAGCATCAAGTGACGGCTGAAGGGCTTCTCAAACTTAAAACGCGTTTTTCTCTAAACATTTTTTTGCGAATGGCGGGCACGATAACTCAAAAACTAATAATCCAATCGGTTCCAAATTTTGCAACGTTTCTCTGGGAATGTATAGCTCTCGTATGAACTAGGATAAAGCCAATCGGTGAAGATCTTCCTTATTTTTTAACTTGGTTTTTGGTAAAAAATCGGCGATTTTTCAAAAATATTTTTTCAAAGGTCCACCATTTTGTACATTTTAGAGCGAAGTCAATAATCCTAGTTCATACGAGAGCCAGGCATGTACTCTTTCTAACACCGTTGGAATTTTCGGATTCCGATGTTCCATTGAGGAGTTATCATGCCCGCCATCAAAAATAAGGACTTTTCTTTAATTACAAAAAACAATAACAAAATTTTTTTGTAAATTATTTTTCTTCTCTTTTAAATCTTCAATTATATATGTGCAAAGTTACAAACCTTAACAAGCATTGGTATTGATTTACCAGCCCATTGAAAATCTTGAAAAATTAAAATCGAGAATGGGGGGGTTCCCTTAAGGGTTCGCAAGGGGTGTCAAATCTTCGTACTATTGGTTCACTTTACATGCAACATACAACAACACGCTACATACAACATTTCGGTGAGGGAGTTACCGGAAAGAGTGGATACTTGATATAGGGTTGGTAAAGATAATAGGATGTGCAAGGTTTGGTTGAAATATGACATTTTATTCGGCTGATATTGGATTTATAAATATTGAAAATGTTGACCATTCGTGGGGGAGGTACCAGAAGGAGTGGACCAATGGGTCCCATCTTTAGACATAATCTAGACTTTGTACAGATAATGGGTTGTGCAAAGTTTGTTTCATATGGGAAATTCCATTCGCTGGTATGGTATGATGGTATTTCACTGGCCTTTAAAAATTATATAGAAATCGTTAATATAGACATTGTTATACCCTTCACCAGACTGTGATACAGGGTATTATGTCTTTGTGCATATGTTTGTAACAGGCAACAGGAAACGAGATAGGCCAATGGTTCCTTTTGATAATATGCATAGAATCACTTTCTGAGTTGATTTAGGCATGTCCGTCCGTCCGTCTGTAGATGTTAAATTGTAAACAATGTACAGGTCGCATTTATGATCCGATTTGAATGAAATTTGGAACAAGTCACTTATTAGGCCCAAGGACGAACTTGAAGAAAATCGGTTCAGATTTATATATAGCTCCCATAGAAATTTTCGTCCGATTTAAGGTGAATGGGACAAAAAAGTCACTATATATCTTTCGATTTGCACTAAATTTGGCATAGGGCACTGAATTAGTTCGAGAATGATGTGTGCTAAGTTTCGTGAAAATCGGTTCAGATTTAGATATAGCTCCCATTGATATTTTCGTCCGATTTAAGGTAAATGGGGCACCAAAATCCCTATATATCTTTCGATTTGCAGGAAATTTGGCATAAGGTACTGAATTAGGTCCAGTATGATGTGTGCTAAGTTTCGTGACAATCGGTTTAGATTTAGATATAGCTCCCATATATAGTTTCGTCCGATTTTATGTAAATGGTGCACTAAAGTCCCTATATATCTTTCGATTTGCACGAAATTTTGCATAGAGCACTGAATTAGTTCGAGAATGATGTGTGCTAAGTTTCGTGAAAATCGGTCCAAATATAGATATAGCTCCCATATATATTTTCGTCCGATTTTATGTGAATGATGCACCAAACTCCCAATATTTGCCCGATTGGGACAAAATTCTGCACAGAGTACTGAATTAGGTCCAGACTGATGTCTGCGAAGTTTTGTTAAAATCGGTTCAGATTTAGATATAGCTCAAATATATAGGTTTCTCCGATTTTTTGTGAATGAAACACTAAACTCCCAATTTTTGTCCGATTGAGCAAAATTTTGCATAGCGAATGCAATTGAGGGAAAAAGTATATGTGATAAAATCGGTTCAGATTTTGAAATCCATTCAGATTTTGATATAGATCTTATATATATTTTCGTTCCATTTTATGTAAATGGAGCCACGAAGGACCTATGTTTGTTCGATATACACGAAATTTGGCAGATTGTATTAAATTGAATAGACAGTGATAAAAACAAATGGTGTATGCAACGTTGTTCTGTCTACAGGATATTGTAGATATAGTCGTATAGTCGGCCCCGTCCGACTTTTGAACTTCCCTTACTGGTTTTTAAGAATATATAGGTTATAACGATGGTATCTAAAAGTCCCTATAATGCCTATACATTACTTGATATCGCTTATAACGAATATCGTTTATAGCGACCAATTTCGCCTTGGATAAGGTATTTAAAATGTATATTGAAACAATTACGCTTACAGTTCTCATTGGCCCTTGAAATAATATAATAATATGCTCTAAAACTCGATTCAATACTTTAAAATACTAAAATAATTTTTTTTAATATCTTTCATTTGTTTTATATTATTCACTTAAAAAACAAATACATAATATATGATTAGACTAATTGGCGGCTGTATTCAGACCTATTAATTTTTAAGATTCAATGACTGGCGGCATTAACTCATCATCATTTGTAGCGGCATTTTATGATGTAATAATTGTTTAATAAACAAATTTGGATCTCTTAAAACCTTATTTATGATTTTTTTTCGGAGGAACATTACAATAACAAAAAAGCAACAAAAACAAAAAACAACACACAAAACTTCCCATAATCATTGTGATACATGTAAATGAAATGAGGGGGAAGTTCCCAAACAACTAGAGGGAGAAGTTCATAA